AAGAAGAAGAAGAAGAAGAAGAAGAAGAAGAAGAAGAAGAAGAAGAAGAAGAAAACACCCTCACCACAAAAAAACCCACCACCTTCACAATTTATTTGCACTAGTTATTAGCAGCCTCATTTCTGTTAGTGTTGGAAAAAAACACGAAGAGAATAAGAACTGCCTAGTCCATACATGGGCATATTAAGCTGTACGCCCTGATCCTGTGATCTGGCTATTGATTCGTCATCCTGTTTTTGACGCCTCTGCGAACCGCCTTCATTATACGGGGCTCACCTGCTCCGTGTCGCTGGTGGAGGGCCTATAAAAGCCGTGCCGTTTGCTCGTCATATATCAGTGTGCGACTGCCAGCTCACTCGAGCGCTGGAGTTCAAGAACCCTCCGAGCTTCTGACTCTCTGTTATCACACCAGTAGCTGAGACGAAGAAGGCGAGAGGTTAGCTTGACGCTAGAGATCAGAACAACGACCACAGCGCTCAGTATTCCGACTTGTCGTATCACGTGAAGCCACAGTGATTTCTTGCAAAGTTCTCATCTGAGGTCCCCACAGTATTGGTGCATATTTCTTCAAGAGTTCGTCAGCCGACGTATCTGTGAAGCTGTGTGCACTTGATATTTCACTTAGTGGAATATCTCTCACGAATCCAAGACTGATCTACGCACTTCTGACATCACTTGGCCCACTGCCGTGGTAAAGAATCAATTGAGCAGCAGTAATTGTGAGAAAACTGAAACTTCAGTTTATCCGAAAAAGTGCCTTTCTTGATATTTGTTTATCTTGCCGTTGTATCTTTACACACGGACTCACGCGTGAAGGGTTTGCAACGTCAACCAGAGATAAAAGCCGTAAACGCATTCCTTAAGCGAACCAGCATCCCGAGTAAAGCTTGCTCTGTGGCTACTGTGAGGAACACCACAGGAACGGCACATCCCTCGAAGACCAGCAAAATGCTTCCTAAAAGTCACAGCACAGGCAACAACCTCTCGGCTCAACAGTACGACAAACAGGTCCGGGTAGCGGTTTTGGGCCCAGCCGGGGTCGGAAAGACGTCCATCATCCGCCAGTTTCTGTACGACATGTTCGAGGAAGAGTACAGCCAGACAGTGGAAGAGATGTACCAGGTGCACTTCGACAACGACGGTGTTAAACTCACGCTGGATATACTTGACACTGGTAGGTTGGACATAATAATTATAATATAACCGATGTTAACTAAACAATAATCATAATATTATATCTGTCTCCTTATGTTGCAGAATAATTTGATAAATGTAAAACGTCTTGCTCTGTTTGTCAGCCATGAACCACTTTAAACACAACACCGCCAAGTGTAATAACATACGATCATGCCAGAGCTGATTTATCCATTCCCTTCCTGTTTGTGATCATAAGAATGGTTGCAATGTTTCTTTCATGGAGAAAGGCATGGCCATTTTCTATTTTCTAAAACAAGGGAGAATGAACAAGTATTATTGGACGTGTGTATATTGTTAACTTCTTTGTTTTCTTTTCTTTTCTGATTTATCTCGTTTGCATTAGTTTTAAAGGAGTCAAACGGGTTCATAATTAATCGAGGGTAAAAAAAAGTGATACTTAATTGAACTTTAAAGTACACATCTCAGACAATCATGAATATTCTTGCCATCCCCTCAGACAGTCAGACTTATCATTTCTCCCTTCTCTCTCTCTCTCTCACAGCTGGTGCCTTTGAGTTCCCCGCCATGAGACAGCTGGCGATCGCAACGAGCCACGCCTTCCTGCTTGTCTACTCTGTCGACGACCTGGAGTCCTTTCAGGAAGTGACGGCCCTCAGGCAGCTCATCCTGTCCCAGCGTCCTGGCACACAGGTGCCTATAGTCATCGTTGGCAACAAGGCGGACGTCCCGGTAGAGAAGCACGCCGTTGCCAAGGAAACCGCCGAGGCCATTGCCTGTTTTGACTGGAATAATGGCTTTGTAGAAGCGACAGCTAAGGACCATAGCCGTGTTGTGGAAGTGTTTAAGGAAATTCTGAGACAGTCTAAGATCAGCTACGACCTCAGCCCTGCGATGAAGCGGAGGAGGCAATCGTTACCTGTTCTTCCAGGTCAAGGAAAGCAAAACTACTGCAGGGCTAAACGAGACAGCAAGTCTTTTATGAAACGGTTCTTTACCACTTTGAAATAGAAGGAACGTCAAATGTTCAGGCTTTCCACTTTAGAATAGATTTGTGCTTTGACTTATCCAGGAACTTTCCATTCATCGACATTTCACTGTAGAAATGTTTGACTACAAACATGTCTTTCTGATATCCTAATCTTCCAATCGAGGGCGAGACATCCTATTGATTCAGGCCATTGGGGAATTCTTCATGCTCACTACAGAGGATGGGTTGGAAAATAATACTGTGCCTTCACTTGTAGCCAAAAAATTATGTTTGTGTATCTGTAAACGTGAATGTTGCTCATGTAGTCGTTGCAAAAAATAAGGTTAGAAGAGTAAAAGTGAATAAGTGAAAAGAGATTTATATAGATATTGACAATATGTTGAGATAAAAGAAACCTGTACATTTGAGCGCTAAACACCCTCTTTCCCTCTTTATTTTTTCCCTTTTTTATCTGGTTGTGGCACAACTATATCTAATCTACTTCCTTGTCTGATGCGATATTATTTAAGCAATATTCCAGATTTGTTGAGGTTCGGAGCATGAAACTGATAATGAAGAAAGGAGGGAGACAGAGACTGAGAGAGAGTGAGGGAGAGAGAGAGAGAGAGAGAGAGAGAGAGAGAGAGAGAGAGAGAGAGAGAGCAGTTTCGGTGAATTCTGAAATGGATCAATTATTTTTTCTTAAAAGTTTGAATGATCATTACACTTAAGCAATTCTTATTATATCACCTAGTTATACCATACTCTCGTTGTATTGTTTTCTTTGTAAGTATACAATGTACATGGTGCATTTTGTTAAACGTTTGTCTTCAATAATAAAATGTTAAAAATATTTTTGGACATCAAATTGTTGAAACCGTGTCTTCATTTTTACAATACATACAGCATACCATAGAGAACCAAAATGCCTTACACTCTCTTACTATGTTACTATGTTTCTCCCTGCGAGATGGATAAAGATTGTCATTGTCATTGTCATGTACATTTTTAAAAAATGATTGATGTTAATGTGTAGGAATTTTTAAAGCATGATATTAACTAATAATAATCATGAAGATCAATCTTTTCTCACTTGAAAATTTGATTTGGAACGAAACATAATATGTTTTTGTATTTGTTTCTTTTTAATGCCGTTTGACGGTTCTTCATCTCACAGAATCACCGAGGAGGAAATTAATGTTATATCGAGTATCTCAGATTTTCTGCTGGAATGTTGTATACTACTCAGCTGGGGTTGCTCCATCTTCCAAAGGATCTACATTGTGTCAATATGGAAGCTGAACTTCCTATATTAATACATTTTTTCCTTAACACTGTGCATAAATGAAATCTGCGCTACACAACTAAATACAATGTCATGTCTCATTATTACCCGATTACAGCTTTCAAGGGAGACAATCATGATACTACTTATGGCTGCTAATCTCTTGCAATTCTTTCCCTTGTTTGTCTTCTCGTTTTGTAATCAAGGGTTGAGCTTGTGCGTCTGTTACAGTGATAATGAAAGGCCATTGCCTGGACAACCGTAAATGAGAATGTTGTCTTTACTCAAAAGTACATACACACATACACAAATACACACACACACA